TCAAGTGCGACCGGGTCATGCCCTGCGAGAACTGCTCCAAAGCCGGTTGTGCCCCGGACTGTGTCTTCCATCCCAGTCCTGATGGCGTTGATGGTCTGCCGGACCAGCCCAGTGCGAAGCGCATGCATCTGCCACCTGACTTCCCGTTTCCCTCCGATCCTCGGGGCGATCCGGCTGGTGCCAGGCTGCCTCCGCCGCCCGCTGCTATCGGTCTGTTGGAGGATCTCCAGCAACGATTGCAACGTGTGGAAGAGGTGCTCTCCTTGAAGCCGCTGACACGCTCGTATGCCGGCTCCCTCAAGGATGTGGTGGCCCGCGATGCCAGTCCGTCTGTCCGCCAGACCACCCCGTCGACCCATGCTCCCCCGTATCCTGGTACTCTAGTCGTCAAAGGAAAGGGCACGCGATCACGTTACCATGGTCAGAACAACCGGACCACCTTGTTGCATCAGGTAATCCCGATCTAGATTTGTCAGTGGGATGCGTATTTAACAGCTTGTAGTTCTCCGAAGCGAGAGAGTTCATTGAACGCTGCACCAAGGACTCTGCCATCTTGGGGCTGGCCAAGGAAGTCCAGTTTCTACAGAGTAAATCTAAGCTGCCCATGAGCTCACCAGAATCTATGCCCGATCTCGACTATTCGCCCGAGCTGCTGCAGATGCAGAGCTCTCTGCCATCCAAAGCGGTCTGTGACCGACTCGTGAACCTATACACCACCAACTTTGAACGTACCCTACGCATGTTGCATGTCCCTTCTTTCCTCCGCCAGTATGCCGACTTCTGGACCACTCCAGGGCCGGACACTGAACGCTCCGCCACTTTCTTGCCGCAACTGACGGCCGTTTTGGCAGCCGCGCTGCCTCTGGAAGACCCTAGCTTCCGACTCGAGTATTCCTCCGTTTGGGAGTACTTGCAGACGCCCGCCGTTAACCTCGTGCGCGTGTGGTTGCAGAAGCTGGGTCGCAAGCAGCGCACCGAGCTGGTCTCGTTGCAGATTGAAGCGCTCGTGTTGTTGGCGCGACGACTGCGGCTGGCCTCGCAGGAAGAGCTGTGGCGCGCCACCGGCACGCTTGTGCGGTCGGCCATGGTGGTGGGCCTGCATTTGGATCTGTCCGGGAATAAGCAGCTGTCACCGTTTCAGATCGAAGTCCGGCGCCGCTTGTGGATTACCATTGTGGAGATGGACCTGCAGACCTCCATCGCTTCGGGTATGCCCGTGACCATCCCGGATCTGGACTTTGATCCGCTTATTCCGACCAATTTGAATGACACCGATTTCGACGAATCCACCACGGAACTGCCGCCGGCTAAGCCACTGCATGAGTGGACGGATACCCTCGCGCAGGTCACCTTGGCCTCCTCGTTACCCCACCGCATCCGAGCTATGTCGCTGGTGCGCACCTCGAGCCCGGGATTAGATCTGCGCGACATTGTCAAGCAGGGTCGGCGTCTGGAAGAATGTCTGCGGCAGATTCCTCCTCCGCTCAAGCTGGATCCCTCACCGATCCATGGGGAAACCCCTGGACCAGCCCTCTTGTTGAACCGGGTGCTGCTGGACGTATACATGCGTCGACCCTTGCTGTGCCTCTATCGGCCGATCGTCATGGGCGAGAGTCGCGAGGATCAGCTCTTCCTGGAGATTGAACAAGCCTGTCTGGAGTCTTCGCTGGTGGTGCTCTCTTACCAGGATTACTTCGACCCTAACGTGGCGGATCTGGACGTCTTCAAATCAACTGCCTACTGGGACGTGTTCCAGCTCTTTTGCAAGAACGATATTCCATGGGCTGCGCTGAGTGTGTGCGGGTATATGAAATTGTCCAACCAGCAGCATTCCGGGGCCCCGACGCCGATGGCGCCCGCTCCCGCCTACTCGCCCAGTCAGCCGACGACTACACACACCAAGGCCAGTCTTACGCGCATTGTCGAGAATACGCTCGACGGGCTGACCCGCACGATCGGCGAAACCGGCAGCAACATCAAAGATGTCATGCTGCTGGCCGTGGTGCTGCAATCGGTGCGGGCGCGGGGGTCCGCCGAGCTCAAGGAGCGGTGGATGCAGCAGGGGGCCGTGAAGGCGCTGTCGGCGTGTCGACAGCATCTGTTGCCGTCTGTAGCGCAGCAATCGTTTGCGTTTAACCTGACAGATTTTGCACAGATGGTAAACTTCCTTTCTTCTTGATATTGTTATGGATTTATGCTAATCAAGTCTAGCTACAAACTACACAGCCTATTTTCCCCACTACCACAGACCCCGGCTACACGCCCTCCACGCAGCCACAGCTGCCCGACTTCCTAGCGGAGTCATCTGCCTTGGCGACAGAATTCAACAACTTCCGCGGTGATCCATTTGCATTTGAAGATGGATCGTTTGCCTGGAATATGTAAATTAGTGCCTGCATTATCTCAGTTTGTCGATAATGAGGCCTACGACGAATGACGCAGCGATATGCATTGTGCAGTCACAGTCAGTTTAGTATTGGTTACAATCAGTTAATCGCTGGTTTGGTTATGAGCGAAAAGTGGGATGGTGTTTGGTGCTTCATAGATGGGATGTACATAGCGCCTCTTCACTGTATCCAGTTTGATGAGTTTCCCAGTGTATTAGTTAATTGTGTATTGCTTGATAATAGTGTACTTATGTGTGAATGGATACCCCGATGCAAATTGGTGCATAGGTTGCTGTGCTGTGAGTGTAGTACCTCCCACCATAATCCCTCTTCACAACCAACCCTGCATCAACACGGCACTACCCTGTCTATATTCAACAAAATAACTGCTAGTATCACCTGTATATACACCAGGCAATACCCGACATTCCCCTCGGACAATTCCAAAGGGGTAACCCATCCCCAAAACCCCGACTCCATCGGATCCGGGTTCGGATCCGGATCACCAGGTCATCTCAGCTAAGGTCAGCTTCCGCCCGACGTCGATCATTCCCGTCACTAAGCTACTACTATCAATCAGCCAACACTGTCACTTGTGTGTGTGACACTTCCCCCTATACTCCATTATGTGCTGGCATCGGGCAGCTGGATAATCCCGAGTTCATCTCGGGCCACGGGGTTAAGGGGCGGAAATCTGAAACTGGATGGATGGATGCCTGTGAATGAAGGCGAGTAGTGTGGTATATAAGGAACGACGTCCCGCTGTAATAGTCTGCCCTCATCAGACAGCACAGCATCATATCACATCACAGCATAGCATAGCAAGCACATTTCCACATTTACACATTACCAATATCTGCACATCTACATTCCATACCTACAACACATCCATACTCTACACCATCTACACCATGTCCACCCACGTCGCCATCATCGGCGCCGGCCTCTCCGGCCTAGCCCTCGCCCTCTCCCTGCACCAACAACGCATCCCCTGCACCATCTACGAGGCACGCTCCGCCCCGCTCAACATCGGCGGAGCCATCATGCTCTCCCCCAATGCCCTCCGCATCCTCGACACCCTGGGCGTCTACAACCGGATCCGCCCGGAAGCCTACTCCTTCGACAACCTCTACTTCCGCTCCCCGGCCAACGCCCCCCTCGACACATACGAGTTCGGCAACGCCGCCAAATACGGCTACAGCGGGATGCGCATCTACCGGCACGTCCTAATCCGCGAACTCTCCGCGATGGTCTCCGAAGCCGGGATCCCGATCCACTACCACAAGAAATTCAGCCGAGTCATCACAGAGACCGAATCGAACATAACCTGGGAATTCGAAGACGGTACCACCTCCACCGCCACCTGTCTCGTCGGCGCCGACGGCATCCACTCCAAAGTCCGCAAATATCTCTACCCGGACCTCGAACCCAAATTCATGAACGCCATGGCCGTCACCGCCGCGGTGCCTACATCCCAACTGGCCATCCCGGAGGGGTACAACATCCCCGTAACAATCATGAACAAAGCCCACGGGGCTTTCGTCATCGCGCCTCAGCTCCGCGACGGGTCCGAGGTGCTCATCGGGCGGCAGAAGCGATCAGCCCAACTCGACCGAGAGGGGTGGACCAAGCTGATGAACGACAAAGACTGGTGCGTCGAGTTCCTGCGTGAAGGGGCGGACGAGTTCCCCGAGATAGTGCAGCGGGCTGTATCGAACATCAGTGCGGAGAAGATCAACTTGTGGCCGTTTTATATGGTCCCCAAGTTGGAGAAGTGGAGTTCGGAGCATTGTCGAGTGGTGATTCTTGGGGATGCGGCGCATGCGATTCCCCCGTCGGCGGGACAGGGGATTAACCAGGCGTTTGAGGATGTGTTTACGTATGCGTTGGTTTTGGCGAGGTGTCAGGGACAGAAGGGCGGGTTGGAGAGGGGGTTGAAGGTTTGGCAGAGGGGGAGGCAGGAGAGGGTGGATAGGGTGTTGGTGTTGAATGCGCAAATTGATAAGAGGAGGATGCCGAGGCCTGCTGGGGAGGCTGATGGGGAAAAGGAGGAGGAGGAGAAGGGGTTTGAGTTGGGGTGGTTGTATAAGCCGGATTTTGAGGCTATGGTGGAGGAGTGGTTGGCGAGGGAATGACTGCATGGTAGTGGTAGCAATGGGTGCAGTTGGAAGAGTTGGGTGAAAGTTGGGGCTGTTTCGGGGGTTTTGGGTCTGTTGATGTTGAAGTTGAGAGCGTGATTGGTTTGTTCAGTTGGTATATTGGATTCATGTTGTTTGCTTGGGTTTAATAGGGTTGAAAAGTGCTGTGATGGTAGTATGTGATTTAATGGTGTTGCTTGTTTTACTATGTTTTACATCAATTCTCTAGCAGACAAACGGGTTATTGTTCATCACTATTGGTATCCTTTCCATAAGACAATATAAGACCATTTTACTGATACGATAGATAGAGCAATGACATCACTACATCACATTTCGGTTCGCTTCCTCGCTTTGCCGTAGGTCCGAGACCGAGGCTGACAAATTCGCACTCACGACCCGCTGTCGACAGAACAATTACTATAAATGGAGAGAGACAGCGTAGACATCCTGATAGTCACTCGCATATACCAACATGGCTCCCGTTATCGTCTTCGGTCCAACAGGCGCGGTCGGCTCGGCCGCCGCGCGCACCGCCCAGCAACTAGGAACCACGGTGTATCTCGCCATGCGCAACCCTACGAAACCCATTCCCGGTCTCACTGCAGAGAAGGAAAACGAGGGAGGTTTCGAACGGGTGCAGGCCGACTTCTCCCAGCCAGATAGTATCTCCACTGCGGTAGCGCAGAGCAAGGCCAAGCATGCCTTCATCTACACCGACCTGACTTCATCTGACCACATGCGAGCAAGTTTCACCGCCCTCAAAGAGGCAGGAATCGAATTTGTCGTTCTGCTGAGCAGCTTCGGCATCCAGGAAGATGTTCACAATGTATCGCCCGAGGATCACATCGCCTATGTGCATGCGCAGACCGAGATCTCCCTGGAAGAGATCTTTGGAGCGACTGGCTATGTAGCAGTCCGACCGGCCTTTTACGCGAGTAACACGCTCTGGTGGAAGGCTCCCATTCAGGCCGGACATGTGAAGCTCGCTTGGCCAGCTGCAGCTTTTGACTGGATCTCTCCGGAAGATATTGGAGGCGTCTGCGGCACGATCCTTGCCCGCAGGGCCCTTGGAACTGTTCTGTCGTTGGCCGAGCCGTACGTGAATCTTGTCGGCGCGGAGAATATGGGCGTTGGCGATGCCGTCAAGACTATTGGTAAAGGCCTTGGCAAGGAGATCAATGTCACTGAAGTGGACGAGAATGAAGCCTTGGACAGCATGGTGAATGAGTCCGGGCTGCCCGAGCCCATCGCGCGAGCAGTGCTTGGAATGTGCCGGAGCGCTGCGAACGGTCAGTCCTTCATGGACAGCCCCAGGTATGGTCCTGCAGTTGGCAATATTGAGAAGTACCTTGGCCGGCCGGCGACACGGTTGCATGAGTGGGTGGAGGCAAATCGGGAGAAGTTCAGCGCTTAAGATACTGGCTTTCCTTAAGTAATACTGCGGTGTGTGGTCATTTGTGAATTAGCTGCGAAATATTGTCAGTCCGTGCACCAGTAGCAATTCTTTTCATCGAGTAATCAGTCGGGTATTGCTCGTATTCTCAGGGTGTTGACCCCTGGCAAGCTGGTAGTTTGGTTGCACATTGGGTCAGTCCTCATTGCCGATGAAGTCAAATTCCCCTGGGTTCTGAGCGCATTTTAGAGGAGGTTACTGGTCCAATCTTCTCCAAAGATGGCAGTGATATAGACTGAAAGTGAAAATGACAAACAGACAAGTAAGCAAAAGCGGGATCCAGATGAATTTTATCACCGCATTGCACCAATCACTGCACACTGCTACAGACGAACAACACCATGTCCTTAGAAGGATGCACTAGTAATTGATTTGTGGGCTGTAGGCGTTGCGACTGCAACTGAGTCCTGTCTTTGTCCTCGTTCTCTACAAAAGTCTCCTCGCAGTTCATCCTTATGGTTGCACGAGCATAAAAGGCTCAGGGGTGGATAGATAAATGGATCTGGAACGTGCTTGACAGTTATGTATGGGTCTAAATATACAGTCTTGACGGGTTTGGAATGATTACCTCCCCCGAAGTAAAACTGCAATGGCCATAAACACCCTCCTGGCCAGCCGTGTCTTTCCTCAGAGGCGAATAACCACCATTCCCATCCCTCCTGTCTTCCAGCTCATGGTCACTGATGACTTCGTCCGCGTCGTCTCCATCCGGCTGCACTGCGGCCACCGGAATCTCACCCCACATGATCGGCTTCAGAGCATGCTCCTCACCCTCTGTTGGATGGCATGCAGCGCTGATGGCTGCACTGCAGCTACCTGCAATGGGCATTTGTGATGCGAAACGTCTCATGCCTAGTCCCACGACAGTACACGTCATCACTCCCCCAAGAATAAGCGCGAACACAATGGCGATTGGCCCATAACCGCAGCCAATGAGCTGAAGCGTATCTATGGTCTCTCCCAGCGCGTCAAAGGAGTTTATTTGAATGAAGAATAAACTACCAGCCACCAGCCAATGCAGGAGCATTGATGCAACCATGAGGGGAATGCCGTAGCGATACGGAAGACTGAGATAGTAAGACGATCGTTGGGATCCCTGGGGCCAGGACACGCGGAGTGGCTTCCGCTGGCTCGCGTAGTCGTCATATTCTGCAACCAAAAGCATGTGCGTCAGGAGGTTATTGTACAGGAAATAACCGACCGAGAGGAAAATCTGGGGGAGATTGGCAAGTAGTGACATGTGAATGACGTCCGGCGAGTCAGTAGTGAAGATAATTGTATAAGGGGTGGCCGAGCCGAACCCCAGCTCCCACAGCGCACTGAAGGTCGAGGAGTGCTCTTCATTTCGCAAGCCATAAATAGCCTGCGACAGATAATAACCACCAACACCAAGGAGGGTAAGAAACCTATATGCGTAAGTGAGAGTGGACACAAGGGCAAAATGTTGTCAGCACGTACACGCCAATGGTCACTATCCACTGGCTGGTAGGCAAGGCTCGCGTCCATCGCTGGCGAGGCGGAAGGGTTGCCCACGCTGGCAGTCGCGATGCGTCCTTTACCGCGAGTTGCAAATAGTCCCTCCGGAAAGAAGGCCAGGGCTGTGGTCCACGGAACAGATTCGATCGGGATACCAGGCCCATCCGCTCAGTGGATGGATCAGGTCTACTCAGAAACGACGCCACAGCATCTCCAACAGTCAGGAAGATGTCCGTCCGATTGCTCAAGGCCGTCAGCGACATACACAGAACCTTTATAATATTGCAGACAATCACCACCAAGCAGATCGCCGGGCTGAAGTGCAGCTCACATTGCTCGGTGAGCTTCCGACTCAAGCAATATTCGACTGGGTACTGTGGCCTCTCGATCTGATATTTAACGATATCAGTAGCACATACTACCTCGCCCTCGACCGGTACGAGGCTTACAGCCTCAGCCCATGTGCCGTTGAGCCAATGGGTGGAATTATCCAGGTACTGCTGCAAGGCATTTTCTGGTGGGAACCTACCAAGCTCATCTACAAGGGTTGTGATATCCCTCGTCAAATTTTCACTCCACCCAGAACCAGCTGCCCCTCCAAGTGAGGCATCTCTCCCATTGATTGTATATGAACCACTGGGAAGCTCGATGGTGGCATTGATCACTGGACCATCCCAGGGCACGGGGGGCGAGGCGACCCATTGGCTTTGAACATTCAGGAGCTCCGACGGGGTGCAGGAGGATGAAAGCCCGCTGAACTGATCGCAGAGCCAGTCATAGCTGGATTGAATAACAAGCGTATATTCCTCAACTGAGGTTCCGAAAGCAACCCATTGCAGATGGTCGTTGGCAGTGGTGTGGTTGCTGGTCACCAAGATCAGAGTGCCCACGTCTGCCGGGAAATTCATCGCGTATCTGCGGACACACTCCTCTTTGGTCAAATTTTCGAAGCTCGGAAGATCCGCATAGAAAGTGGACATGCTCCTTGCCGTGTTTGACTCAAAACACCCCTCGTACGAGGAGTTATAAAATAATTGGTCGGCGGGCGATTGAAATCGAAATCTGCCGATGCCAGCAGGACATCGTACTGCCTTGTGCCCAGGGCAAAAAACACGGCAGAGTTGTATCTAAAGCCTTGTCGTTAGGCCAAACTCCTTCGAGGATGGATAATAGCATACATCAAGTGAATGGGTAAAGAGGTTACAAGGAGTACCAGCCACAAGGTGAGTCGAGGCCAATCCGCCCATGCCAGATTCCGCACGCTGGCGACCCCGATGTCCAGCCACACACGCTTCCCATGGGCGCGGTCAACATCGGCACGCGAAGGCGCAGTTAAGCACTGCATACAGTAACTACTGGCCCCGAGAACGATTGTGCTGAGGACGTTAATCAGCAGATGCAGACCCGTCGTCCACGCCTTTGTTCGGTCGCAACTGCCCTTATAGATGGTGGCCGAGCTCATCGTCCGCTGGCCATGGCCCGCAACCGACACGGCCGCCGCCACAATGGTCAGTATGATATTCACTATTATAACACCAAATGCAGCGTATGTACATATCAGTACTCCCCGTACCCATCTTCTCTTGCTATCATGGTGTGTAGAGAGTTTCAGAGACGAAAGGGAGGGGTTTGACCACACGAAATGTTCGCGATCCTGAGTACAGCTGGTGATCTCACTAGTGCTGGCCTGGTGTACAGGTACCAGTTCAATGCCTTCCGCCGTTCGCGAGCTGTGGTGGAGATACTGATAGGTTCTCGTCTGGAGTGACAGCCACCGCCATAAACGCGTTCGGTCTGGCAACAAATCTTTCATCATGCTTGAATTCAAAGATGGAAATGATCACACACGGGGCTGGCAAGGAGATGCTGATTTTTAAAAGTCCGGGATTCTCACGACGAAGACCCGATCGGTGTCCTGCTTATAGCCTGATTCAATGAGGCTGAGCCTTTCCCAAATCAAACCTTCGACCGATGCGGATGCACGGTGCCCAAAGCTACTATGGCGGCCGTGTCCCCGTGCGATCGGCTATACCGTAACGCGCGGGGCTCAGGCAGATTGTTTGAGGCCATGCTTGGGCAATTCGAGGTTTCAGCCTCGCCAGCCTCGCCAGCCTCGCTTATGTTTGGACGCCGCTAGCAGAAGCTCGCGTATCTCAGGGGTGGAGTTCCGGCCCGCTTGCCATTGGTCTGAAGGCCCATGCTATGTGTATTGTCCAAAGCTTACTTCTCGCTATCGAGACGCTTCTCCTAACCCTAGACGATGATGCGAGTGTTTAACTCAAGGCACATCATCTGAGTCCACGATAATCACCCTTTCCTGATTGGGTATTGTACACTCAGTATTGAGATCACATACGCCTTCTTTCGAAGAGTAAACTGAGCTCTCACACTGAAAATTTCGTTCACAATAATAGCATCATACAATCTGGACAGGTCATTGTTTTCTATGTGACCACTCAAGTGCCTAGTAAGTACAAAGGTATAGTTAAAATGTTCACGAAAACAGCTGAATTTTGAGGATATATTCAGATGGAGGCGACCTTCTTGGTCTTTCCAAAAGTTCTAGGATATATCCGATTTCATCATAACTAACCAGCTGCATTTGCATATACAGTCAAGTAATGCAGCGATCATTCCAAGACCAATGAAGGGGTTTGGATTTCGAGTTCTGATACTGCTTACCAACTTCGGTCTCCTTGAAACTTTGGTCCGACTTTCCAAGTGCGTCATTTTCTGACCAAGGGGGCCGTCTTGCACATGCTGCAATACATTCAATATAGAAGAGGGCTGGCTGAAGATTGCGGTACGGAGTAATACTTTCGTAGCTATGTGGGTCATTTCAATGAAAATATGATCTAGTACCATCAGATCATCAAAGCTGATAGGGCCGATAACACACCACTACTAACGAAGTACTTCTTATGAGCCAGTGACAATCTCTTTATGGAATATCAATGACCCTACGCAATGCGACTTCCGCCGATCTTTCAAGCAATTCCAGGTCATAGATCGTGTATGGAATTCCATCGGTTGCACAGGAATATCGGTTGCACAGGAACGCACGGGATCCTGCAGCACGTGCGGAAGTGAGGATGTCTGATAACAGAAAGAGTAGGGAAACAAGAGTATTTGTATGTACGTAATTGAATGCCAAAGCATTTAAACCGGCTGATGGTGCGTAGAATGGCATTGTCCAGAAACCTCCCCAGTCCTATATTTTATACCAATCTTGCGATAACTTCATTTCAATGACAGGAAGCATGGCCATTCAAAACAAATGGTTCTATCCAAGCGACATAGCCCATGATTTGGATGACGTCGATCTACCAACAGAGGTGAAGGTCGAAATTCTGGCATGTGCTTGGGAATACACCCGATGTGTGATCCCACAATACAGTAATTGGAAGCGCTATGTCGCTTTCATGCGCCTTATCACTATCGGCGTCATCAGCGAGTTCCGAGGGGACCTGGTGGACGTGGTTACCGGTCCCCGAGTCCTTGGCTATAATCTCGATACTCTCCTACACGACCTCTTCCATGATACACCAGGACATCAGGCCATGGTTCTTGAGTTTAAGTCTTTCCTTCTAGTCACATCCGAGAAGACAAGCCACAGGAGGTCTAACAGTGAGATGTTCCGTCGGTACGTGGACGCCCTCGTCAGCTCACCACAACAATGGTTTCGGATGCGGGATTGTGACGCCTTAGCCCGCTTCACGATTGCTGCAGGTCTCGCCTGTAATGACCTCCTGGACACATGGTATACAGACACGCAGTATAACATTCTATGCGAGATAGGAGCTACCATGTATGACGCGGTAGCCTTTTTCAAGCATCAGTCAGAAGGCGAGACAAACAGCACCTTTGCCTACATGCCGGAGGATGAGCGCATCAGTGCATTTCACGCAGTGCGTCAAGTCCTATGGGCATTGGATGTAGCAATGGCAGACATTCCCGGGCATACAATTGTCACCAACTTCCTCCGCAACGTTGGTGGGCCAATTCTCATGACGATGCGGCGATATCGGTTTGTCGAAGAGGGGCTCACCATTGGTAAGACGGAGTCTGAGGATATCATCAACGAAACTCGGCAGAACTTCAAGCTTTGGAATCGCTTGGATGCAGGCTCAGCCACGTCCCTCGATATCAAGCATTATAATATGCTTCTTTCCCGGCGTGATGATCTCATGTTCCCGGGTTTGGCGGAATGGCTGGAAGCCGACAACCAGAAGTGTACCCAGTGTGTATACCGCAAGGCATATGGTGCACAGAGGGCCCATTGCTTCGGTGGCGTGGAACTCTGCAGTCAGTGTCGTGATGAGTGGGGCCATTACCTCAAGACGCTGCCTGAACGCACGAAGCAAGCATTTCCGGATCTTGCCCTGGAAATATGATGTTTAGATCTAGCAGTTAGCGACTAGTAACAAGGAAAGCAAGGCATGAAACAAGAACTGGTGTGTTTTAGCAGATGAACTAGTGGTTTGTTGTCTTCACAGCTCTTTGGTTCATACTTACTCGCATTATACGGTCATACGTACTCTCGCTATACGGCCCACGATCAAATCTACGGACGGAAGAGGAGGAGGTCTGACTCTACATGGGAGTAATGTTTATAGACCGCTTCATTCAAGTGATTGGAGACTTAGCGCGATAGAGATATTCCTTGATGTGTACCAAGTAGAACTACCATTCCAGAGTACAATGTCAATCACTGAGTCAGATCACCAGCAGGCCTCAACGACTCATTCTCTAGAAAGTACTATCCTTCACTTAATCCGCTCCAAGACAAAATACAAACGGTCTCCCTCCTGGCTAGAACTATCATGTTCAGGACTATCCATCACCCCAATGACAGTATTCTCATCCACATAGCGAAAATAGTCAATAACAGGCCGTTCATTATAGACCATTGCGGCAGACACGACGTCATTATATTTGACCTCGCGAATCTTGACAGACAATCAGCCATTGACGATACAACCAAGACTAGGGACAACATACCCTCGCACCACCCCAGTAGGGGTTGGGGAACCGACAATCTTTATCGTCTAGGCACACCATGGGATCAACATGGTCGACTTCGTGGAAATCCTTCCCAGCCCATTTGACTGTCTGAAGGATCTCCGCGAGCTTGTTACCTGTCTCAATAGGAGTACCTTTCCATTCGCCTAACAGGAAGCTTGGGCGAACAGGGGGTCTCTCGTCAAAGTAGGCCTTGGCTTCAGTGAAGCTGATGGGCTGTTTGGAGCGGATGCTTTCTAAAATGCTGGCACACGAGGTATTAGTGCTGGGTTTGAATACAGTTCAGATTTCATAACGCTACCTGGTCATGATGTCTGATTCGGGAGTATATTCTCGTATTATGATTGAAGAAGAATGTGAAAAGATCAAGGGAGATCTGAACTACTTATAGGTACCCTTCAGTCCTCTTGTGTGTAACGTCATTGTATTATTCTAGCTTATTCACTGCGTTTCGAGGTGTAACATGCAAGTAGCCAGAACCGATTGCCAGTCAAATCACATTTGGTGCTAGTGAATCTTTACCAGGGAGATTCTATGTTCGAAAAGTATGTGACCTACCAATGACAAAATAATCAAGGCACGAAGCTGCCTTACAGTTTATCCCTTACCGGGGTCTGTCAGCTGGAAATGCCCTTACTTTACTGTTGCGAACGGCATGTTGGCAACACGCGGCCTGCTATATAAGGCGGCACCACCATGACCCTGAACGGCCAGTGGGTCTGTCTGCACGCTGGCTGCTCGATGCCCAATGAGGTGTCAAGCTAAAGTGTTAGCAGCGTGAAGTACAAAGAATGGTCGGTTAAGCCCCGAAGCGAAATGCAGTTGGCAGTTTGCGGCAGTGACAAGGGTTGCTGATTAAGCTAGATCATCGTGCTAATTAACTAACTGGGTTAGAATTTGTAGCCTCGAGCGTGCTATGAGAGAATAGCAGTGCTGTGATAGAGACCATAATACGACATCATTCACAAGTATGGTTTGGGACCTACTTACAATAGGGGGGAAACAAAGAAACAGGACATTGCCGAGATACAGCCTTAAACAGGGATATCCATCCTGGGCCATCTCTAAGACTGACTAGATTAGGATAGCTTCTCATTCAACCTGTCAGAATTCAGCTGGACTGGACGATCACATACACTACTGCCTGGTCATCACAGACTAAGATATACCCGAGGGTTCCAGACTCTGCCCCGGTTGTCAATCGGGAGCATTTAAAGCCAGCCCACCGAGCGTTACTCCCGATGTAATTTCTATGAGCTTGAGCCACCATGGCGCCCCTTAAGACTGTCCTGATCACCGGCTGCTCCGCCAACGGCATCGGATCGGCCCTGGCCGAGGCGCTCGCCAATCAAGGTCACCACGTCTTCGTCACTGCGCGCTCACCTTCCAAGATTCCATCGTCTCTCACCACTCTGTCCAATGTCACCCCTCTCCAGCTTGAAGTCACCTCACCAGAATCCGTAGCTGCAGCCGTTCAAGCGGTGGAGCAGCACGGAGCAGGCCTCGATATTCTCATAAACAATGCGGGCTCCGGATACACCATGCCGCTGCTGGACGTCGACCTCGCCCAAGCTCAGCAGGTCTACGAGACCAATATCTGGGGACCGCTGCGCCTCATACAAGCACTAGCACCATTGCTGCTATCCCGCGGTGGACGCGTCGTCAACATAAGCAGCGTGGGTGCCGTAGTTCCCACACCATGGATCGGTACATCAATCTCCTTCCCGCGGTCGCCATGCAGTGTCACATTAACAACGTGATACAGGCATCTATTCATCCTCGAAATCCGCCCTGAGCAATCTCTCCGAGACTCTGCGACTCGAACTCGCGCCACTAGGCGTATCCGTGGCCACGCTCATGATCGGGACCGTCACGACGCCCTTCCACGCAAACGAGCCCACATTCACCCTCCCGCCAAGCTCACGCTATGCGGCTATCGCGCAGACCATCTCCCGCTGGGCGTCGGGCGAGGCGAGTCCAAAGGGATGCTCGGCTCAGGAGCTGGCGGATTCGATCCTGCCTGATGTACTGGGTACGACAGGAAATGGCATGTTCTGGCGCGGGACAAATAGTGGTGCGGTGAAGTTTGTTTCTCAATGGGTGCCGGGGTGGTTGGCTGTGAGTTTGTCCTCTTCTACCGAGGGTGTTAAGCGTTATTGCTAATGTTGAAATAGGATCGCATGATGAGCATGGGGCAGGGATTGGATGAGCTCGCAGCGAGTCAGTCAAAGTGAGGAATAAGCCAGATTCTCATGATGATTTGGCCATTTGTAAGGACTTAGAAGGCAGCTGTAGAGACGCGACACTCGCCACATACCAGCTACATACATCCTCTTCAGGGGCACTGTTACCCATGTAGAGTGCCTAAGGTGTCTCATGAATGCCGACCGTCAGGCATCGACCTAATGCCTCGGGAGGAGTAGTAGTAGTAGAAAAAGCCTCGCGATGATAGGACCTCAACTATTGTTAGATAATATCATTAATATTACTAGTCAACAGCCCATATTGTAATATAGCCATCCAACAGTAAAGCGAGAGAGTAACTGTAGACAAATCATGGCTACAGAGTAGTAGCAGGTGCAGGCGCCGACCATATTCTGCCCCCTCACAATGAAGGCGGTCAAAAACTTCACAGAATCCAGGGTGAGCATTCTGAAACTGTAAAAGCTTAAATCCGCTTAAATCCGCGATTTTTTCGACGAGGTCGACTAGGTTCTGCCGCATGGAGCGGTGTGAGAAGCGGTCAGAGGTCATTTTCTGCCGACTTGTCGACAAAGGCGGTCAAGTTTTTTACATAATCTAGGATGAGTGTTCGGAAGCTGGAAACGCTTAAATCCGCTTAAATCCGAGGTTTTCCAAGCGAGGTTCGCTAGGTTCTGCCGCTTTAGGCGGTCAGTGAAGCGGTAAAGCACGTGATGGCAGAATAGAGCTCCTGTTCCAGCCGCGGTTCCGGCGCGTGTTTTTATTAGGCATCTTGCTCTTTGGTTTGCTTAGTAGTTGTACGGAGCATTTCCTCCAACTGTAGCCCGGGATTCTGGAGGGTCTCAGAATTCTAAGGAGTATTATGAGATATTTGCCCTTGTGATAAAGAACGGTCTACTGCTAGCTAACGGTTTCTGCTAAAGTTCAGCTCGGATCACCTGGACAGCTGCAAATATATATCCCCGGTTAGCAGAAAGGACAACAACCACCTCATTAGTAATTACTAGAGATGGTGGAAGTTCATGATAACTTAGGCTGCGACTACTATTCTATTATTGAATCCATGTTTATGCCGTTCTACCAGTATTTGGGCCCGATTTGCATTGCCTATTACCCCTCCTTCTTTCTTTGGCCATCCGCAGCCACCGCAGACGAATGAGCCAGATGTTGTCGGAATGGCGCGGTCGGTGCTAGTGTTACTTAGTGCTACCGGCACTGCGAATCCAATCGCGGCGGTCCTCATCGGAACTGCATATCCGGAAAAACGAAAGACCCTGGAAAGAAGTAGCAGGGATATCGACAGGGATATTGCTCAGGTTTACCTAAAGACAACTACCACTGACCTGAAGGCGCATGAAAATTGGTGATACTCTGGTTCTGTTGTCTAGAGGTATTCCCCAGTTTGGTGAGCTGCAGCAGTCGATGACGACGGGGTGCAGCCCGTGTTAAGCCACTGATGCCCCTCTGTGCTTCTGCAGTGGGATGCTAGCTTGTGATCGTCGACTGCCACGTTGCAGAGTACCCCTCATGGATGCTATCTACTCCTACTGACATTGACATCTACGCATCCATATTGTTCTACATTGGATTGAAAAAAATTGTGTTGTTGGTTGTTCATTGTGGTATATTCTATTTCATGTCATACACACTACCGTACATCATAAACAGATAGGTGCGTCCAACTCATAGTCCAATCGCTTAGAAGTCCTGGGCGGAGGCCTCGTAGAGCTGCTCCTGAGCGTGGCGCTTGGCGGCCTCACGCTTCTCCTGGAAGTGGTCGTAGGCATCGAGGCCCTTGGTCTCGAACTCACGGTCGACGAAGGCACCGGCGAGACCGGCGAGGATCTCCTTAGCCTGGGCGTGGCTGTCGGGCTTGCCTGAGAGGAGATTAGTATTATGTATCAAGGGGAAGAGAGAAGAGGTTGGACGAACCGTTCTTCTCCTGGTGCTCCTCGTAGGCCTTCATGGCCTCGTAGGCAGCGGCACCACCGATGAGCTCGTGGCTGAACTTGGCCTTGTGCTCCTCAGTGACCTCACCCTGGGGGTTGAACTCGCTGAACTCCTGAGCGGCCTGAGCCTGCTCGCTGTCGCTGCCTGTACAGATTCCGTCAGCTACGGGCACATAGATGTGTTGTGTGGTGTGCGGGTGTACTCACTGAACCAACCCATG